TTTTTTTTTTTTTTTTTTTTTTTTTTTTTTTTTTTTTTTATCGTTAAAATTAAATTGTATAGATAAAAAACAAGGTACAAGACCGTTACACTGCATACAAAAGTAAAGTGAGCAGCCACAATCACGGCTCCTCACTCACTGATCATAAGTCTAGAAGGTGAACCACAAGTCGGTTGCTCATCTTGTCCCGAAATAAGTTGGAAAAAACAATTTTTGAATGGCGGGCCCTGTCGATTGTTTGCCCACAAATTTTGGGCCAAACAAAGTTCAAAGGCGTGACACGGCACGCCGCCCATCTCGGGCAAATTATCATAAGCGTCGTACGTCTCGAGCCCCTTCTCTTGCTGTGGCATGTTGCGATATCCCAGGAATAGCATAGCATACTCCAAGTGCGTTCTTTTCAAACTCTACGAGCGTATTTGGATATAATGCAAAGGTTGTGCGATACACGTGCGTTTGAATCTTTCGAGCTACGTGCTCAGGCTGCTGGGTTTCATGTTCAAAGATCTTCCTATTCCGTGCATTCCAAACAAAGTAGACCGTAGCCGCGAGCCCGGCCTTCTTTGTTTTGGTTTGCAAACTGGACCCTTGAGCTTTCTTCATGACCCATTTCAGCGCACTCTTTAGTGTGCTCATCTGCCGGCCCAAGCCTAACCACTGTCGGATGACGGACCACACCCTAGCATTGAATGGGCACAAGAAAAAGAGGTGATCCGCACTTTCTGATGCGTTGCCACACAAGGCACATGTTGGGCCAACTTCCATAAAGCCAAGTCGATCTTTGGTTCGAAGCCTTCCAAGCGTAGCGAGCCATAATATAAATGAAAGCTTCGGCGTGTTACAGGGGCCCCATACCACTCCACACCAAGACACGGGTGTACCTCGCGGTCTAAAAAGTTCGTATACACGAGCAGGCCCTTTGATCTGGAAGCTTATGTCCCAACTATTCAATTTGTCTGTTGCGGCCTGTGTGCTGCCCAACGTTTGGACCATCAGGTTCCAAAGTTTGAAGAGATCTTTGAAAAGAGGCGGGTCCCTCTTTCGGATGGTCCATCCCAAATCTATTTATGCTTAAGGTATATGTGATGTACCCAACGGAACCACAAGGTATCCTTCTTGGCATGTATGTTCCAAAGTGTCCGGGCTAGTAAAGCAAAATTCCACGTCTTAAGGTCCCGAAGGCCCAGCCTACCTTCAGAACACGGCAAACTAAGACAATCCCATGCAACAGCTGCACTTCTCGAGCCCCATAGAAACTTACGGCATCGTTGGATAATTTGTGTGTAGACGGCTGAGGGAAGGAGGAAAATAGTCATCTGATGATACAAGAAATACCTGACGTTAGTCAGAGGACACGTGGCGATGGTGTATGCTCTGACGTCTTCCTAACGTCGTCTTTTTTGCTCCTATGCTTGCAAAACAGAACCCTGGGGTTGTCCCTAGGGGTAGACCCTCCGATGCCTAAGTTAGAATCGGTTTTAGGTTTTTTGAGTGGTGGCTGCGAAGTGAGTAGAGGAGAGAGTATTGAGTTGTAGAAGGGTGATTCTGAAGGCGGTAAATGGAACTAAAGACTCTAGCGTTCGTGGGTATAGGTATTAAAGCCCCGAGGAGGACAAACCCCACGATAATCATCCAAGCGTCAGGAGTTAGCTGAGCGGGAGAAATATTGTAAAAATTTAAGATCTCAATTTAAGAAATATTTGTTGTGTATTAGGCGACACGTGGCTCGCTAGAATAAAGACACGTGTACTCCGAAGACCATTTGTGTCCAAGGTCGAGGCTGAAGTCCAACCTCAAGTTAGGCTTCAGGTCCCAAGGAGTCTCATCTTAGGCCAGGGTCTGAGGAGTCTCCTTTTAGGCCCAACGTCTAAATATGGCCCAACTGGTGGACCATAGTCCAATAAGCCAGTGGGCTGGGAAGTCCTCTGTCTTCTTAGGGAAGACCTAGGTCATCCGACCTCTATAAAAGGATGACCTAGGTCAAGGTAAGGGATATTCTATTCTCTATGCATTTTACAGTCATCATCTAAAAAACCTAACACCAACTCTAACTTAGGCATCGGAGGATCTACCCCTGGGGACAACCCCGGGGTTCTGTTTTGCAGGCATCGGAGCAAAGGAGACGACTTCAGGAGGACGTCAGAGCATCAATCGTCGCCACGTGTCCTCTGACCAATGTCAGGTAATTCTTGTATCATCACCATCCAAAAGCATTCCACTCCTTGGAGTATAGATCGAATAAGCTCCAAACGCCCCGTGTGAAAGAGTGGACGCGCTCCACCCCTTTATATATTTCGATATTTGGTTGTCAAGTTCATCGAATTGCCCCATTGTTACCCTCTCTGTTGTAAGGGGAATACCGAGGTAGCGAAAAGGCATAGTGCCAGGACATAGATGCGTGTCCTGTAGGATCGTATCATGATCCATCTGTTCCACACCCGCCAAGTAAATGTTAGATTTCTGCACGTTCATCTCAAGCCCCGATTTGGCCCCAAAGTCCCTAATGCAATCCATAAGTATTTGAATGGATCTTGGATCACCACATGAGAGTAGCATTAAATCATCCGCGAATGCTAAATGGGTAATTTTGAGCTGCTCACATTGTGGGTGGTGATTGAAGTCGGTACCATTTGCCGTGTTCTTATTAATGAGTCTAGAAAGATACTCAAGGCAAATGACAAAGAGATAGGGTGAAAGTAGATCACCTTGTCGAAGACCTTTGGCACCTCTGAAATGTCCACTAAGTGCCCCGTTAATCGAAATTGAGTAAGATATAGTGGCCAAGCACTCCATGATCCATCCTATGAATATCTCTGGAAAGCCAAGCCCCTTCAAAACTTGCCTTAGCAAGGTCCACGAGATAGAGTTGAAGGCCTTTCGGAGATCAATTTTGATGATGCATCTCGGGGATATCCTCTTACGTAAATAGTGCCGAAGTAATTGCTGCATAAGATGGATATTGTCTCACATATTCCTCCCCTTCACAAATGATGTCTGTGCCCATCTATGATAGAATCAAGTACGGTGCTCAAGCGTTGTGCGATGATCTTTGAGCAAATCTTATAAGTCGTGTTACAGCAAGCAATCAGTTTGTAGTCGGAGACATGGGATGCATGGTTGGTCTTGCGGACCATAATTAAAGAGGTATTGATTCCATTGCTTGAGAAGGCGCCCATTTCTGAGAAACTCTTACACAGCTGAGATAACATCGGCCCCTATGATGTCCCAGGTTTTACGGAAGAACATGGAAGTGTATCCATCTGGGCCCGGAGCCTTACCGCTGTCGATATTGTTGAGGGATGCTTTGATCTCAGCTTCTAATATTGGGGAACAAAGAACATCTTGCTGCTCTTGCGTGATAAGTGGGCCCTCTCGTATGACGGATGTGTCAATGTCCTCAGTAGGCTGGCCGTTCTCCTTTGCGAGTGAGGCAATGAAATTTTTTTTTGCATTCCGTTTCACTATGGCATGATAGAAGCCTGTACATTTGTCTCCCTTGATTTGGAATTGGCACTTTGCTTTTTGCTAGAAGAAGTGCTTCTCTGCCTTCGCCAGATTAAGGGCCTCGGCTCTAAGAGATGGAAGCAATTATTTTAACACCAAGTTGTTGGGCTGGTCATGCAACTGTTGTTAGGCACTTTTAAGCGCTAACTTCGTTATTCTTGCTCGGGCAGATATTTGAGAGAAATGCTCGGCATTAAGATTCGTGAGCTCAGATTTCAAAGCCTTTAAACAGGTGGAGAGTTTGAACTGAGTTGTGCCTCGAACATATTCTTGCCATACTTGATGTACCTTCGGCTTGAAATTTACGTGATCGGTCCACATGTTGAAAAAAGGCCAAGGTTTACCATGTCTCCTGTTATGCTCAAATAATGTAATGATGCAAGAGGAGTGGTCAGATATACCTGGCGCTAAGAAATTCGCTTGACTATAGTAGCCATCTTGGAGCCATCGGTCATCCACCATGGCTTGATCAAGTTTGGACCAAATTGTGCTATTGGTCCAAGTGTGGAAGAATCCTGAAGACGGAATATCCACAATCTCGAATTTGTCACAAAAATCGGTAAAGTCCATAAAGTCACTATTGGTGACAGGCTCGCCGTTGATCTTCTCTTCAGGCCTGAGTATTGTGTTAAAATCTCCCAAGAGGAGCCAAGGAATGCTAAAGAGTGACTTAGAGCTCTCCAAGTCTCGCCAAAGTTGTTTTCGAGCACCCCTGCTATGGAGTCCGTATACAAAGCTAACAAAGAAACTGTGGTTGCTAACCCTGCATGTGAGAATGGCATAAATGGATTGAGGTAGGATGTCTTCTATCACTAGATCCACTTTTGACGGATTCCAAATGATAGCAATACGGCCATAGTCCACTACTCCAAAGTTGTCGCAAAAAGTCCATCCCCGAAGTCGGTTATGTACAAAACGAGAAAGACGATGGCAATCCATTTTAGTCTCCACGAGTCCCAAAACATCAATGTTATCCTCTTGGATGAGTTTGACTACCTCATCCTGTTTTAGGGGCGCATTAAGACCCCTAATATTCCACGAGGCAATAATCATTGTTTGGAGGAGGGGTGAGCCCCCTTCTTCAATGTATTTGCTTTTGTCTGCTCCTTTCTCATTAGGACGATATCCTTCATCTTTACCGATGCTATTTTTGGTACCGTTTAGCTTGAGCTAGTTGCTTGATTGGCAGATTTGTTCTTCTTGCGCACCACATGGAAAGTCCAATCCTCGTCATCGTAATCATGGGCTAGTTCCAGCCCTTGTTCATTTGCAAGTCCACTGATACCCTTGATGGGCTGTGAGCTCTTGTCCACATTACTTACGGCTACACTAGCTGGAGCTAGTACCAGCCTTTGTTCCTTTTCGAGTTCATTGGATTCCATTGGCCTTTTACCTCGGCTTTAGTAAGTTGCGTGTTGACTTGTGTTATCTCCTTATTAAGGGGCTGTTCTTCAACCTTTTGGAGTGACTCATTGTCCCCAGTTGACTTATTTGCTTGGACTGAGAACTCAGGCTTGTCAGTCTCACTATTGTAATGCTGGTTATGCCTCTTTGTTGCCTTAGTGACCCCGTTGGCATCTGCTGCTTTTTGCTTCTCAGGTTGGGCAGGACTCTTTTTCTCCTTGGGTTCCATAGGGAAAATGTTGCATTTAGACGAAACGTGGCCTATGTGATTACAAAGTTTGCAATATGGGGGCACATATTCATAGACCACATCTTGGATAAAGGATGAACCGAGGGTAGTTTTCACAAGAATGGCATACTCTAGTTCCTAAGAGACGTCTATCTCCACAAGGACCCTTGCATAGCTACACCTTTGTTTGGTTTCGGTGAGTTTGTCGGTGGTGATTGGCTTGCCAATTCCCGAAGCTATTTTCCCTATGGCCTTCTCGTTCCAGCACTCAAGTGGCAAACATGGAAGATTGATCCACACTGGCACCATCTTGATGTCGTCGTCTCCAAACCGGAACCATTCGGGAAGCATTTTCAAAAGTAGGCAACGCCCAAAGATTGTGTAAGGCCCACCATGCAGAACGCTGTCCCTATCCTCATCAGTTTGGAACTTGAACATGATCCATCCGTTAACATCTGGGATGTATTCATAGCGCACCTTCCATGAATTACAAATCTTGAGCAAGGCTTTTTTACCTGGATGTCAGTGAGTGAAATAGCCCACAAAATAGTAACCTCAGGTTTCTTTGACATCATCAACGTCCTCCATGTCCAACTTTACAACTCCTTTTTTGGGTGGAGTGTAAGCAAGCTTGAGACCATTTGTTGGCTTACGATTATTAGCAAATAACTCACTAAAGGGGCATTTGATAGCTGTTGGCCTCCCTTTGGGCTCTGTGAATACCCTAGTATCCATAGCAGTGGGTGAAGAAGGCCCAGATTGGTTTGCTTCTTTGCCAGGATTGTTGGAGTTTGACTTAGTCATTTTGTCGAACAACTTGCGTGCGCTATTTTCAGGTTGCAAAGGAAGCTGCCCTTGCAATGCCTCTTTTCCCCCAATGTTATCAGCAGCTAACCCCATGTTCATAGCATCAGTAAGGGCATGAAACTCACCATGAACTCCCTGACCGCGTGTCGCGACACGGCAAATTTAAATTTATAAAGGTTTCCTATACTAACCTCTACTAACTAGTAGTAGCGGCGAGTAAGGGTCGATCCCACGAGGAGCAGGAATTAAATTGTGATGATTCTCGTATTAACTGAATTCAAACTATGAAAGCACTAAAATGGGGGGATTGATTTGATAAAAATAAAAATAATAAAATAAAATAAAAATCAAATAAAATAAGAGTAGTCCAGTTTTCGGTTCAGTTATCACCCAATCTCAATCTACCATTAATTAATTTCGACGCTTTCTCTAGATTGCTAATGAATTACCAACCCTAGCTAACAACAAGCTCTGTTAACCGAATTTTCCCTTACCAAATATTTAATCGAAATAGGCTCTTCGACTAAACCTAACTAGTGGACAACCTAGAATAAGCTCTCTAGATTTAATACACTAGCAGCATTTATTTCTAGAAAAATAGGCCAGTCTAAGCAATGGACGCACAAGCTCGGACAATTTAACTTATGTTCACGCTACCCTAGAGATGCACGACCCCTAGTTTACACTAACGAAACGAGACAATAACAATTACGGATTAAAGTCCCAAATCTAGCAATTAAACTATGAACATTCAACGTAGTTGGCCAGACTAAATCAAACACCATAATTTATAAACATTAAACATAGATAGCATGAATCAACTCATCAACAAAATAAATACGTCGTCTAGATTAATCAACAATAAATAAAGATCATCCAATTCATAGACAAATCGAACTTAGGGTTCAAACATCTCCTAAAACTGGATAAAAAGTCTAACCTAACATACTAATAAAAATAAATAAAATGATAAAAGAGAGAATAAAATCTCCCTCGTGTGCGGTGCGGCTTCCCTCCGCGTGTTTTTTTTTTCTCAGTCCGTGCGTGTTCTCTCTTGTTCGCGTCTATGTCTTTTTCTCTCGCAAAATAATCCTCCCAGTAGCCCTCGGCTTTTTCTTGTTCCCGTCAAAATAATGCCTGCTAATAATTCTCCTCTCGCAAATAAATATTCCCGGCTCTTCAATATCTTCTCAATGCTTTGTATATTGTCCAATAAAAATAAGGAAAAAGCTATTTGTACAATATTTTTGTACAACATTCAATGACAACATGATGTGGCATGATGTGGGTGGTTGAGATGCAAATAAATGTATAGTTGAGATTTGAGGTAAGGATACTTTTAACTAAGTTGTCAACCAATGTGGTAAACTACAATTGTACATGTAGCATTGTCCTAAAACTAAAGCCCACTCCAATCAAAAGTCTTATTTCCCAAGTCACCAAAGTTCCTCCAAGTCAAACTATCTCCCCCATGCATTAGTTTGTTGGCAACGTGTATCAATCCATTAACCAAATTAAATTGGCTTAAATTGCTTGCACACGATTTATTTCCAACACATTGGTTAAGTTTTGAGCCCAATCATTTATTTTCTTCATGCCAAAAATTCAAGCAGTCAACATTACGGTCATATCCATTGACATCTTCAAGTATTCTTCAAAAAACTGAAAATAGATAATAAAATATCAAAGTACATGAATTCGTCCAAATAACAAATAAGTCGAAAAATATAAACGTGCAAATAAATTTAACATGTAAAAATGCAATATTAAATATATAAAATATTCACATTTTTCGACTTATCACTCCCTCTAATGAAGCTGCCTCATGTGAAGAAGCAGCAGCATCCTTGGGCCCAACTTGCTCCTTGTTTGCTTCAGTTGGGTGATTGGGCTCGCCTTCTTCAAACTTTGGATCATCTTGCACGTCTCTTAAATAGGAGTTATCGATTTTCAATTGGCAAAAAATCGATTTTTTCTTGTTTCTGGTCATTTTCCCCAGTTATTGTGCAGAAAGCACTGTAGCAGCGCGCAGGAAATTTGGGGAAGATGATCAAACCATGCTTAAAATGCGGGATTTCTGGTGCGAAAATGTTCGAACAGGAAGGCTAACGTCGAGTCGCTATGATTCAATAACAAGGACGCACAAACTCAGCCCAAGAATGCTTCAAATCGCGTCCAGAATGATTTCGGTTACAGTAGCACAGAGTTCGCGAAATCTGTTGAGAAATGCTTCAAATCGCGCTCAGAATGAATGGATTCGTACCTGAACAGACTCGGAACAGAGGTTAATCAACCGAAGGTGTAAGATTTCAGTGAAAAACACATGGAATCGATGGATAATGAGCTCAAAATTGGTGCCAGGCCCTAAGAATCGGGATTCCTAGTGAGAGATGGTGTGCCTTCTCTCTAAGTAAGCAATTTTGTTACTATAGATGGTAGTTGAGCAATGTGAAATTGTGAATAATTTTCTTACTACAGATTGTCAACAATTTGCATTAATCTGTTATCTAACCTACATGCATTACATTAATTAATGAACGTTTTAAATTTTATAAAGTTTGTCAATGTTTGCTTTTCGACCTCACACATGTTTTCCACAAAGAAAAATAGTTGGGACTGTAGTACAAAATGAATTGATGTAGTTTCATGGAGGACCAGCAAAGTTCACCGAGTTGAGAGCATCTCCAATGTGAGATGTTGACTTAATAAAATGTTAGCCACATAAGTTATAAAGTGATTATAAAAATTACTCTCCAATCCATAATGTTATGGACTCTTTTTTGCTGACATGGAGAAAATAAATATCCAAAGTGTGAAGCCCACTTTCTAGTTTTCCAAAGTGTGTTTGAAAGCCAACTCATCCAAAATTTAACTTATTTTAGGCTTTTGAAAAGAATGTATTGGAGATGTGCATTCCAAATTAAAGTCTTCTCTTGGTGTAATTGAGGTCGCATGGCGGGCATCTCATTTTGACATTCATATTACATGGATTTACATTCCATTTATCATTTGACATGTGTTCAAATTTAATTAATATTGAAAATGGAGCATTGGAGATGCTCTGAATAGGGTTATCTTCGCTCTTTTTTAACATTGTTAATGACCACATATTGAAATTTGCAGACTTTTTTTTTTTAAAACAATACCCTTAATAAAGGCTTCTTTTATTTAGTGAAGACGAAAATTTGCAACATGTATGGTTTTTATGATGATTTTGCAGTGCACATAAAAAATAATCTAGCAAACATCTTTAAATTTTTAAATTTGAAAAAAAAAATATTTGAATTAATATTGAAAATAATTTTATTAATAGATAATTTAATTTTTCAATTAACACTGAAAATAATTTGATACACATTATAAAAGTATATCTCTTTGTGTGCGCGCACATCTTGAATGTCAAATTAGTACTCATCAAAATATAATTAATTTGATCTATCATATACATAAATGTAATAACAAACTCAAAAGGTATTAACTTTTAAGACACGATTATCATTTAAGTTCATTAATGGTATTATAATTATAACATCTAGAAATCTTAATCAATATAAATTATTATAAAACACGAGAAAATGACACATTAAATTCTAGAAATCAAAGTAAAAAATTACAAAACTGACATATAAGTTCGTAAAACTTTGTACTTACATATAGAAAATAGAGTTGTTAAACGAATCAAATTGTTTGTGAGCTCGACTCGACTTGTAAAAAATTAAATAGGTTGACTTCTTATTAAAAGAAATATAGTAAAAATTACTTTAATATTATAAACATATTAAAATTAAATAATACCTGCCTGTTTTAAATCTTGCAATCCAGTTAATAGCACGACTTTCTATATAAATAAAGTGGTATTAATTTTAAAAATTCAATTCTTCTATTAATTACGAATCACTGCAATTTCTTATTCTTTTAGTAACCGACCATACAACATGTCTTCAAAAAACGTCTATTAAATATATTTCATTTTTAGAAAATATTATTTGAATGTGCGTGATAAGATTTCAAACATAATTACAAAATAAAATTTTTCCATTATGAAAATTTTATTATGATATTTATAATTAGATCTTATTTATCAACATTAATAACAAATCACGGTGATTTCTTATTCATTTGATAACTAACCATATAACAAAATATTTTTTTATTATTTTCAAAGAATCATTTAATCGAGAGGATTGGATTATAATCTTTTGCTTTATCAATAACTCAACCACTCTAGTTTTTCAAAAATTATAAACCTAATTTCGCAACATATCAAAATAAATTTAATTATTTATCTTTAATAATAAATTAATATTTATCCTTAATATTAAATCATGTGCTCTCTTATTTTGTTGCGTATCCAGCTATATGTAGACCAAAATATGCGTAAGAACATTTCAAAATATAAGTACAAAATTGATATGAGATACTACATTGGGTAGAATAAACCCAATAAACCAGCCGGCCGAGAAGAATGAACCGGTTGGTCGAGCAGAGCACATGCAGACCGAACAGAGGTCGAAAGTTGATAAAGGACAGTGAGTCTTTAGGTCGAGAAAAACGTTGCAGGTTCAAAGGAATATCGACATGTCGAGCTAAGGCCTTCGGATGACCGGCTTGAAACTTGATCTGAAAGCGTAACTGGTCAACAAATCAACTAGATAAAGTCCGTGCATCGTCCATATTGCACGGGATGCTTACTAGTTTAAGATAATAAGCAGAAGAAATGCAGAAGAAATTAACTGAGTCGGTGATGCACAATAATTCATTAAAAAAAATCCAAAATAATTACATTTTGCCAACTAAAAAAATCAGCATTTTCGTCTCACTAGTGGCCATGAGCTGTCACTGCACACACACACACACAACCCCGACAAACAGCCTTTCCTTTCTCAGCTTCAAAATTTCTCCTCCTCTTAACTTTCTCTCTCTAACCCTTTTTCCGCCATAGAAACACACGCAATGAAGCTCCACCCATCTGAATTAAGACGAAAAAACCCCAAATTTGCAACAATCGCAGCCATAACCTTCCTCCTAACCATCCCTCTCTACTTCTCCTTCTTCGCAAATTCCTCCAAAAAACTCCCCGAAAAAGCACCGGCGGCAACGCCATCACACGGCGAGTCGAAGATCCGATCCAAAGCGCAGGACCTGAAATGCGACCTGTTCACCGGCGAGTGGGTCCCGAATCCCAAGGCCCCTTACTACACGAACGAGACCTGCTACGCGATCCAGGAGCACCAGAACTGTATGAAGTTCGGGCGGCCCGACACGGGGTTCATGAAGTGGAGGTGGAAGCCCGATGGGTGCGAGCTGCCCGGGTTCGACCCGAACCGGTTTCTGGAGCTTATGAAGGGGAAGTCGCTGGCGTTTGTTGGGGACTCGGTGGCTAGGAATCATATGCAGTCCTTGATCTGCCTCTTGTCCAGGGTATGTATTTTTATTTTTACTTTTATTTATTTATTCACAAATTGAGATTTAGATATAAACTAAGGATTTAGGGAATTGAATGTATTTTTTTTTTTTAATTTAGTTTTGGGTAAATTGTTAATGGGGAGAAGTGATGTGGAAATGCAACGTTAATGGATGCTTTTTCTGCACTAAACCTCTTTTGTTAAGGCATAGGCCCATGGTTGGGAAGTGTGGAGCATTTATTGTGTTAATAGAAACTAGTGTCATGTTTATTTTCTCTGGAAAAGGCTACAGTCCGGTCACGGAATGGTTCCGTGAGAGATTTTAGCCTTTAGATATGTATGCAAGTTAGTTATTATGCATAATCTATGGCTAAAATCCCTCATGGAACCATTCCGTGACGGGACTGTTGTTAATGTAGAACAAGAAAAATTAAAAGATTTCACACTGTAGAGTGTAGGCGATAAGGCGATAAGGTGCCGAATAATGGTGGGATCTGTTTGGTGTTGCTATATGTGTGATAGTAAATGTTGGTTTTTGGCATAGTCCCAACATATGGTCTGAATGTAATAATCAAAATTTTAAAATGAATCAAGGTGAGAGAAAGAATAAAAGATATCTAATTATGGTGTGTTGAAACAGAATGGAGGAACTCTTGAAGCATCTCTATTGGGGTTTGAGGGGGTTTGGAGAGTTTTGAAATCTAAACCATGAATCTCCTCTTAGGGTTTGAAAGGGAGTTTCTGTTATGTTTTGTTCAAAAGGAATGGATACCAATCAAAGGAAATGAAATGGAGAGAATGAGATGTAAAATAATAATCTTACTTTCTTTTTGGTTTAGTGAATTTCTTGGAGGGAAATAGAGTAAAATGTTCCTTCCTTCTTTGACTAAGAAAGAAAAGAAAAAGGAAAAGAATAATAATCAAGGGTTAATATGCCACCAACTGATTGATATTGGTAGGAAATTATGAACATGTGCCATACACCGTGGGTATCTGTTTGAAAGATCATGAGATTGGTGAACACATCTTAATGTGTACATGGTGAACAATTTACGCCCTTTATTGTTATTTATTCTCATTTGGTTACGAATTAAGATCGATATTATCACTAGCATTAATATGGTCACTAGTACAATTTGTCAATGAAGGGAATGGAGGAAAATATTGATCCTTTGTTTGGATGAAAAAGAAGGAAAACATAAAATTAAAAAAGAAAAAAAAAAGATAATTTATACTCTTTATACTATATATTTTCATTATTACACCTTTATCTACATTTTGTACACTATTGAATGCCACCCACCCCACCACCAAACTGCTCCCCAAGACTCCTTTCATTTAGATTTACCTTTTGTGAGAATAAATTTGAATAAAATATGGTAAGTGTACTATTGGTTAAAATAAGTGTGAAATATATATGCTCTATAAATAATTGGAGTTGTAAGTTCTAAGGTTTTGATTGGATATGGTTTCATTGAATTTTTTTAAGAGTTTGAGAAATATCTTGAGAGAGCGAAAAACTGGGAAAACCTGATGATTGATAGTAAGATGAAATAATTTAATGTGTGATTGTTAGAAATATCAAATATGTGAGTAAGTAGATAAATAGTAAATTTTATAATAAAAAGTGTTTGTATCTCATAATTGATGTGGGAATGAATGAGATAAAAATGAATAATGTGCTTTCTTAGAAAATTTTCAGATGAGATCGAATATGTTTTCTTTAATTATAGATCACACCCTTACCGTTATTGTAGGTTCGATTTTGCAAGTGTAAAAGGTTGAGGTTTTTAGGATGACACGATACGTTGGAAATTGAAAATCAAGGTCATATATCAAAACTTGTATATAAAATGCTCCTTTAATTGCATCTTGAAGCATAAACAATAGAAAGTGAGACTTCAATAACGGAAAATTGTGTTGCAATAGGGCAGGTTTTCGTTACTAATAAACAATAGAAACAAGTATTTTCCGTTACATTATTGGTTAGTGAAAACAGGGGTTCTGATGCTCAGAGACGGATTTCGTTCCGTTGCTATCACTAACGATTTTTGTAACAAGCAAACTTGTTTCTAGTGCTTGAGGAATAGCAACCGAATAGAAACGAGACTATTTGTTTCTAATTATTCAGTAATAGAAACCAAATTTGTAATGGATTGGTCCGTTCTTAATATCTTTATATTAGCGATAATTAATGGTATAATTTTCGTCTTTCATGCGATGCATTAAGTAATCACAAAATTAATTTTCAGTAAACTTCTTTTGCTTCAAATGAATTGATTAATACACTTACAATAAGAAGCAACATTAAAGAAATAAAATAAAACAAAATACAAAAAATTTATTTCATTAGTACAATAATAAATTCAGTTGATAAAACATCAAAGTACACAAAATAATACAAACTACTAATCATTTTATATCCTCAAATAAAATATGAACTAATTTAATTAACATGATCTTTCAGTAGAATTGGTTGAGCCTTCTTCTGTTCTTGTGCTGCCGATGAATCCGTCGTATATTGGCAGCTTATTCAACTCAACATGCATTTTCTTGTGCCGTTGAGATGAAGTCCAGATGCGCTATGATGCCTCCTTCGTAGAGTTATAATATTCTTCTGTATCATCATTAAATTATTCATCAGATCATATATTGGTGAAAAGTTAAAAAAAGAAAAAAAAATTGGATTTACAATATCGATAATTTTTCTGCCTCAGTTCATCAAATCGCAAATATATTTGTGACAAAGAAAAAAAAAACACTTAAATTTGCACTTACCCTCTTCATTTTCCATCCACTCCTCCAAAAAACATTCTCATTAATCGTATTGAGTGGTTTGTGGGTTTCACTCATATTGATATTCTTCAGTTAAATCACATTAGCCAGTTCAGTTGTGATATTTTCAGTTAGATCGCATGGAGTGGTTTGTAGTTTTAACGCAACGTGCGTGTGGGTTGTCCTACCAAATTATTTATTAATTTACTCATTCCCAATTATTTATTTACTTAACCAATCTTAGGGAACCGTTATTTATTTATTACGTTTACGTTTAAAGTTTTTTTATAAAATAAATTATAAGAGTTATCTTACAATGTACAATTAACTTAGTTATTATATTACAATAATTTAATGTTATGAATATAACTATTATATTAAATTGTATACGGAAATACTAACCAAAACAAAAGATGCTACAAAGAAAATGATTATCATATATATGGCGACACATAGGATTAAAATATATCTTAGTCCATAGAGAAAAGTTGTAGAAGAAACTAAATATTTAACTATATGATCTAGGAAAACTAAATATTCCATAGAGAAAAATTGCAAATGAAACTAAGTCTTTAACTAAAAGATGTAGAAAAACTAAAATAATTCAAATAAAAAATAAAGGTACCAAACAAAAAGCCGAAAAAGATCAATAAAACTAACACTAATAATTCAATAATTTCATTGTAGTATTAAATGTTATTTAAAAAAATTGTATCGTTTCGATTTCGCTCGGTTTTAGCATGAGATGTTCGTTCGAACTCATTCAAGCTCGAAAATAAAAATTAAATTAAATAAAATAACTTCATATTTTAAATACACTTATTAAAAAACACATATTTAAAATACACTTATCAAAAAATTCCCCATATTTATGTTGTTAGAACTCCCTTTTGTTGTAGTGTGATCTACTAATTGAACTTTTAGAAAAGAAAGTGGGGCATTGAGTTTAGCTCATTTAGTCACTTCAAGCATTTTTATTAAACTAGCTCCGTATGAACCTTGCTTTAGTGTTCGAGGCTTGTAAAGACGATAAATGAAATATTTATATTTTATATTAGAATTATATAAATTATAATATGCTACAATTTTAAGTCTTTAACTTGAAACCATCTATATGTATTTGTAACATAGAGAGTTAGTCACAAAATTAGTTACTAATACAAATACAATTGCTTAAAGTACATTCCGTTTCTGAAAGTATATTCCGTATCTAAATCATTGTTACNATCCAGTCGAGCTATCCAACCCTAGCGAACAGAACAAGCAATACTCGTACCGAAAGTACAACTTCTCCATATCCATGTTCTGGTCCCCTTACCTCGTCCGAACCGACCAGCTCCAAACCGAGCCCTTCAACTTGTACCTCGACGAGCCCGACCCTCACTGGCCGGATGCAATCGCACCCTTCGACTACGTCCTCCTCTCCGCCGAGCACTGGTTTTTCCGGCCAACTTACTTCCACCTCAGCCGCCACCTCGTCGGCTGCCTCTACTGCCCCGAACAAAACCCCACCACTCGCCTCCCGCCTACCTTCAGCTACCGTCTTGCCTTCCGAACGGCTTTCCGCGCCATCAACTCCGTTTCCAGTTTCCGAGGGGTTGTGTTCCTCCGCACATTCGCCCCGTCGCATTTCGAGGGCGGCACGTGGAATGGCGGTGGGGACTGCGTGCGGACTGAGCCGTTCGGGAGGAATAACGGCACGGGTCTCGAGGATCGGTTTAAGGAGATGTATGGGATACAGCTGGAGGAGCTCGGGATTGCGCGGAGGGCGGTGAAGGGGAATGGGGAGAGGTTTAGGCTGTTTGATGCGACCAGGCCCATGATGTTGAGGCCCGATGGGCACCCGAGTAGGTATGGGCACTGGCCTGGGGCGAAATTGGTGTTGGTGAATGACTGTGTGCATTGGTGTCTGCCTGGGCCGATTGATGGGCTGAATGATTTGTTTCAAGAATTGTTGGAGAGGGAGATAAAGGATGATCGGTAGATGAGGTGATTATATTTTACAGGGTGTAATGTTTTGCTTTGCCCTAATTATTGGTGGTTTTTGTTGTTCAATCTCACTTGTATTCAGTATCAATATACTTTAAAGTTTGAGAATTTTTGCATGCTGCTGTGTGAATGTTATGAACTCGACTTGTGGTAATTTCTGAAAATTGAGGGTTTTTTCTTTTTTTTTTTTTTANTCCACACAAGAGAATTCTCAATTTACATTGTTTTGAATTTTATATCTGAGATTTTAATTTCGAAGACTTTTTATTTTCGGCCAATCTTGTAGTTCAAGACTCTGCATTTCATGCCAATATTTGGTTGGTCATTTGGGCTTGCATTACGTATGCTGTAATGGTAAGAGATTGCGGCCTTGGAGTTTGTAAGCCGACGTATTGATGCTCTATATCTATAGTAATATAAAGAGATTGTTGGAAAAATACATAAATAGTAATTTTGATTTCGAAAATAAATGGTTGACTTACTATTATAAGTAACAAATAAAAACACACATGTGATTAATAGTACAAAATTTGGATATTTTGATAGGATAATGCCAAGCCATTTTTTTAGGTAACTAAATCGATGCTTTATCTCTTTCCTAACTAAATATTTATGTGTCTCTTTACATTTATAAATTTTTAAGTTTTGAATATACAAATCATTAATATCCCATAAAATTTGGAAAGAATTGAATTTGAAATATGTGAGATTTGAACATGATACATATATTAAAAACGTATGAATATATTTGTAATACAAAATCTAATCATTTTGGTAAATCAAAATCAATTGATATCCCATAGATAATTAGTGCGTATTAATTGAATTTCGTATCTTTTTTTTATTTGAAAAAAAAAACTATCAATATATAATAGGAATAGAGATTTACTGAAAAAATAAACTAAATCCCCACCAAAAAATTCATTATTATTATTATTTGTACATTTTTTCGAAGCTTTTCTTAAAATGAGAGGCTAGCTTTCAATTTGATATTTAAAATATGAAAACATATTTTATGTTCACTGCTTGATATATTTTCAAATTCAAACGCAAATTAGCTATAAACTCAATGAACGATATTCACGGATAATTAACCCAATAATTGTTTTATATTTAGCAAAATAATGAGATATAACCAGATACAATAATATACTTAATCTCATGGATTGACTATGATTTGATGTTGTCATATTAAAATTATTAACCACATAAAATTTTGATATTTACCAAAATAATGAGATACAACCAGATACAATAATATACTTAAATTGGTATTCTTCTAAATGGTAATTACCGAAGCAAAAAATCTTTGAATTTATTACTGGTTGTTGATTTGTAATTTGAATTTTAAATTCATTCAAACACTTAAAAAAAATATCACAAGCAGATTTTTTTGGATACATTTCATTTTATCTTAACTTACATTTGTAACAAACATTAAATTTTTCTTATATATTTTTAAATTAATTACATCAATAAATAATAATAATATACATTAAATCTTTATCATTATATAAAAAAATATTACTTCTATAAGTGTTATAAATAATAATGATATTATACAACAATAATTTTTTGAATAAAATAATATTTGAGTATTATGATGAATCAAAATATGTAAAATTATTATTTTTTCTATATTAAAAAATAAATATATATGTTAAAATATTATTTATATTAATATAAATGGATCAGCGGGATAATATATTGTTAAAATAAAGTTTTGAAAAAATTGTCTAAGGTACGAACCCTCATGCATCGCACGGGATTCTCACTAGTTTCAAGAAGATACAACACCGAAATAATATGTAAATTCTATTTTTCTTAATTGTGCTAATTTTATAACTTTTTTATTCATGTATCATTGAATTTCTAGGGCACGCTTGTTTATTAAATAATTCATTCAAAATGAGTTATTTTGGTTAACTATATTAATTTTAGAAAATATAGTATGGTTAGTTGTTAGTGGATTTTTTAGTATATCTGACGTGAAACTATATTTTGTTTACTAATTTTTAGTTACCATTTGAAGTAAATATCATTGTATCTTTATATATTAATAGATGATGAAAATTGAACAGTGTATGTAAATTTGGTAATATAAATACACGATAATAATAAACATAATATGCAGAGTCTAATTTACAAAGCTTTTTTACTTATATATAAAGAGGAGTAACAAAGCATTTAATTTTATTACCATGCATTAAATTTTATTCTCATGCATTAAATTTTATTCTCTCTCCAAAATTTTTAGCATTCAATTTCATTTTGAAGTTACAAAATAACTTGCTTGAATGCCATAAATTATGAGCATAAACTAATCAAGGGAATTACAAAATTGTACTCAAATTTTATGTCACACCCACTCATGAAAATGACCGAATGTATTAGCATAAAGAAACTGGTTGTAACGGCTCTTCCAGAGCAATTACTTGATCAAAATCAATTTTGAGAATTATTTTCTTTATTCATATATTTTTTTTCATAAATTCAGTTATGATTTACTTTTATTTTTTTTTATATTTTTAGATTTTTAAAGTATTCATCTCTGTGTAAATACATATGTTGATTACTAGTTTATACATAAATTTACACTCAATTGTAGAGGTTTCAATTCCAAAAAATTGATAATGGGTTAACGTATAATTAGCTTGGGCAACATTGTTAAACATGCTCTAAACTAGGCTAACTAGCTATCACGTGACATTAATGATCATTTAATTGGTCAACTTCAATCAATTCATACACAATTCCCAATAAATGAACATTTTCTATGTACTCTCATTTATATATAAATTAATTACTAGAAATAGATTTTACCAACTTTTATGTAAAATTTTCATCAAAAACTACATTTATTGTATTGAAATAAATTTTTATCAATTTCTATGCATGATTTATCAATTAAAAAATATTTATTACATATGAATAAATAATTTGTCTTCATAATTGTATTGGAATTTGCATTCCAATTTCTCTTGGCTAAATAAATGCTTCAACTACTTATATGACCATGAAATAAATTTTGTTAATTTATGTGTATTATTTATCATTCAAACAATATCATAATTATTTGTTATAAATAAATACTTATTTTAGTCATAATCAATTATTGTATAAATTTCAGTTAAATATTTTTATGCCTTGTGAGTGACATAATAATTTGTAAAAAATAATATTTAATACTATACATAATTATTATTTAAAATCCCATATCCCTTGTGAGTGACATAATAATTTGTATTCATATTCCAATATCCCACTTATTATTTGTCTCTCTTCCCATTTGTGAGTATGAGTTCTTTTCTTTATATATTATATTTTTTCTTGTAAAAACAAATTATCAATCTCATTTAATTAATCATTAAAATAATTTTTAAAGTAAATTTTTTATTTAAAATCATTTATTTTAATATATGTTTTTATTTATTTTTTTAACATCAAACACAATATTAATTTTTTCCGTTATATTCGGAATATTTCAAGGTAAAATAGAAAAAATCATAACTAATACAATATCTGCATGTAATATAATAAATAAATATTTTTATAGTTTTTAATTCGGTATCTGTATTGCATATATATAGATAAACTTTTAGATTTGATATGTCAATTTATAATTCTATGTTGTTTATTTTAACATACACATGTTCAATGTTAACATATAAATATCTAATAGTAGCACCATGTCATGTTTGACACATATACTCTAATATGATGGAATTTACGTACACATTAATAAAATATGTAATCATCTCTTATTAATTTAATATTATATTATTTTATATCTCTATGTAATTCTAAGAAATACAAGTAACCATTAAATTATTTTTATTGAGTACCTCATTCCTAAACAATATCTTTTAATTTAAATTGTAAAAAGTCTAATCATTCACAAACTCTTATGTGAGTGGAGTAAGGTTTAGTCAAGTCAACGTGTCATTCTTTTTTAATAAAAATGCGAACTTAGACTTCTAAATTTCATACTTTTGTTTATTTTATTTTATAATATATTTTTTTAAATAACAAATGCAATACAAATAGAGAGAGGTAACAAATAATGAGATTATATTTATCATAAATAATACAGTTTATTCAACTAAAAAAATGTATTTTTTTTTTAAATATCATCTACAGCTTTTGGGGATGATCTTTCATATCCATATAAAATCGATCTCGAAAATGTTGAATAGACTTCACTTGGGTAAAAGAAAATTCAAGAACTATATGGATTGAAGTTTCTTTTACTAATAAACCATGCATATGAAAACAAGGAAAACAAGAGAAAAGAAAACTAAGACATCTTAGAATTCGAAAATGTCATGAAGTTGACTGTACTTTATAGATAAATAATAGACTATTATTTTATAACTGATATTGTAAAAAGATAACAAAATCAACAAATGATAGCGTACAAAAAAAGAGATATGACATCTGTTGATAAACGGATTTGATCAACGTTAACAATGTAATATTAACAGAAGAGATTGCAGAAAATGAGATTTTTATTGAATATTTTGAAGTCGGTTTTAGTACAAAGAGGTCGGTTTTTCAATGTATTTCAAGTCGGTTTACAATGGGATTGCCGAGTTGAATATATTAGTGAGTATGATCGTTTTTCGAACCCTTCTCTCATTTTCGGAACTGCTATTTATAGGTATGTTTGGCACACGTCCCTAGACAAATCATTCCGTTTTAATGAAGATTTGACATCTTAGGGGCGGCGATGACGTAGAAGAACCTTTTAGGCAATGATTAGCATGGGCGCGCCTCTATCTGTGTGACGAGTGTCACATCTGTCGGAATGAGTTCGGTTCGTCTTGCGACGTCGGTATCTTGATTGATCTTCAATATTTTACGACTTCTTAATGAATAACTCTTTGACCGAATTGGTCTTTTCCAAGGTTAAGACGACTTGTGTTGATGTCTTCCGAAAATTCTGCGGTATCATTTACGAGTACCGAGATGAGATTACCGAGATACAAATATGCACTGCCTGACGTCGTCCAGAATCCAGTTTAGGAGTTAAACTTCGCGATTTCTTTAATGATATCATAACACCAAGATAATCTACCTTGATATCAACAACATCATTTCAAAGAGACAACTCATGGATTTGATTGTGAAGGCTGAAAAGAAAAATGCATATATATAGTTCATTTCTTCAACAAATTTTCAATATTAGGTCGTTTCATGTTGTTTTTGGTATTTTATTATTTTTAGTTGGTATAATTTATTTTATTCATGAAAATATTGAAGAGTCCACTTAAACACATGCGCGCATAAAGTTTTCGCCTTCATTAATTTTTTTTATCGGTCCAAAAGTATAGAACTATAATTTCTGTGGCAGAGCAAGTTAATTTCATTGTTAATGTTTTATTTGTATATCGTATATTGTTTTCTTAGGAATGACGATAATGTATCATCTTTATCGAACGTTGCGACATATAAAGTCCTACAACTTACTACGAATGCAACAACTACTTTTTCTTCATCATATATCACAATTGTCAATTTTACTTTTTAGTTTTAGACTTATATTATTATTATTATTATTAAATTTTTTATTATTGATATTTGGAAATAATTTTGTATTTCTAAATAATAAGTTAATCACAATTATCTTAAATTTCATGAAAAATAAGTTTTAGCTATTGATCTAACATTGACGGTGATCATCTTGATTATTTTCTTAATACAATATTATGAAAATAAAAATTACAACTTTAAAGTATATAATAAAAAATAATTCAATATATGTAAACATAAATTTGTATTTTGTACAATGAGGTGAACATTTATTTACATAGTTTGTGTACAACATAAAAATAATTGATTTAGTGTTCGGACATAAATTTGTATTTTGTACAATGAGGTGAACATTTATTTTCATATTTTGTATACAACATAAAAGTAATTGATTTAGTGTTCGGACATAGCATCTAATTTAGTTTCATTTATGAGTAAGCAATATAAGAATATTGTGAAATGAAAAAATTTAGAAAATGATAACAGAAAGAGTGAGAATTTCAACAACAAGAAGAGAGATAAAAAATGATAATGTAGTTTTGACTATGAAGACGAAATGATACTATTGACTGAATATTTTGATCCGAAAATTATTTGTTTCATTTATTTTAATTGAGCTTAAATTTGAGATTATGTAAAAGTTGGTGAAAATTGACCTTCCTTATTTTTTTTTTAATAAATACACAATAATGTTGTTTATGAATAAAAATAGCATAATTTGTCAGTTACCGTTTAACTTTTCTTAATAGAAGCATATTATTGCAACTGAATGTTGTAGTAGATAAAGTTAAACAGAACTTATTATAATGCATTAACTACTTTTTCCTTATCATCTGTCACAATGTTAATTTCACAATAATATTTTTTTAATATTATATAATATAATTTAAATGTATTTTTCTTATTACTTTACAAAAATTTTGTCAACGTGCGTTTCTAAAAAATACACTGAATTGTAATCCCATTGATTTGTGCAATTACTTGGTCTATTTATAACTTTACGAAAAATGATCAATCTTCCACGTCATTCTCTAATCACCATCGCACTTATTTTGCAAAAAAATTGAAATGTTGATATTATTTTGTTAATAAAAAAGTAAAAAATATGTGGACCTAATTTAAAATTAAATACATGCGGATAGAAGTCATTTTTATTTTTTTCTTAAGTATTTAATTTATATTTATAAATTTTAATTTACTCATCTTCGTACATGTTAACTTTAATTATTAATATATTACTTTATTTGTAGAATAGTAATTATGACTTTATTTTTTGTACCTATGGAATTATGTTATCACGTAGACATTTTTATGAAAAATTCTGAAGGAGTGTCATTAATGTGACAAATAATTTTTTTAATAGTATATCACTTTTTTTTGTAAGCTTATGAATTTAATTTTTAAAATTTTAAGAAAAAATATATTGAGTTTTTTAGTTACAACAATTATACGTTGTTATTGTTTCTATAGTCACGAATCCATGTTGTCTAATTATTGTTATTACTGTTGGTGATAATGGACACAACTCATCTACTATTAATGCTATATTAATGTTATATTTGTGGAAGTATATTTATTGGATTAGTAAAAAAATTAGTCTACGTTATATCAATAGATGTTTTTTAAAATATTTTTCTATTAATTATCATTCATTTCCATCATTTTTAATATCAAGCCCGCGCAACGCGCGGGTAGCGTACTAGTTAAAAATAAATTCACGATCTTGCATCAATTCGGTTTCTAGATTAGTTAATTACATGACTTGTGGCCACAATCCACAAGTATCATAGCACAAATGCAACTTTCAATTTCATCCTTCCAAAGTAATCAGAGCTAGCACAAAATCACATACCAATACAATAACGCGAATCATTAACAGGTCCCATAATTCCTAGGCACAACAAAAGTTTATTCATCTGAAAGCACACACGATTAAATTGAAAAGTACAGTACAAAATTACCGTATTTGAGTTCCCAAGGGCTAAGCGCGGCTGACGGGCGGCGTGCGACTGGGATGATTTCAGGGTGCCGGACGGCTAGGGATTGGGACGGACGGCGAGGGCGGAATTAGTGCGGCAGACGGCTAGGGATTGGGGCGGACGGAGGGCCGAGTGCGACTAAGTCTTCGATCAATTTTGGGAGATACGGGAGTTGAAAAGACGGCGAAAGACAATGGTTTACGGCGGACGGGCGGCGTGAGGATAATTGGTGACAGAGTTGAACCTCTTGGAGAGTTGGGCGTGAGCAGATGGGTTGCTGGACGTGAGTAGAAGACTTGTAACTTGAACAGTTACTTATTTTTCTATTAATAGTTTAATACCATGCCTAACATCAATTTGCAATAACCGATGTGCCAAGGAGTTCCGACGCCTAGCACATCAGTTATACAAAACCGATGTGAAAAGTTATTAATATTTCTTATCAGTTTTTTAAGATCGATGTGTTAAAATCACCTCGATCACATCGGTTATTTAATAATTGATGTTATTATTACCGCACCCCTAGCCACTCACATCGGTTTTCCTAAACCGATGTTGTACATTATATTTTTAACATCGGTTGTACATAAGACCGATGTAAACAATGTTGCCTACCAAATTGTTCACATCGGTTTTGTAAGAACCGATGCGCTCGATGACAATTCACATCGGTTTTGTAACAACCGATGTCACACCTGATGTGAAAAGTATTTTTTGCATCGGTTTTATAAAAACCGATGTAAACACCCGATGTTAAAAGTGTTTTTTCTACTAGTGCAATGATATTTTTATCTAATATGATGAATAATATTATAATATTATATTAGTATTTATATTATATTTCAAAGTATTACATTTAAATATAAAATTATGTATATTTATTATAAGATTTTAAATATTTAATAGTGTCGCTAGGTGTTCGACCAACGCCTAGAACACTTAGCCAGACACTAAGAATTAAGATTGAATACTTTATTTTTTACTTATTAATAAAAATATCTGTAACTTATCATAAATTAATAAAAGCATCTGACCAACTTGTCAGTTGTTACCAAAACAAATCTTTTCTTTTCCAATTTTTTTTTTTTAATTCTTTAAATTATATAGTAGCACATGAAAGTGATATATACAATACAACCAATCTTTGCCAACTCTTTCACCACTTACCCAAAACATTATTCCAATCCTTTCATTTCTCCCCTCACATTCCTCAACCTCCAAAAAACCATGGAGCAACAAAATGTAAACAAAAAATTGAAAAACATAATCATACTCCTCGCAACAGCATTAATCCTCATCACCATTATCCGCCTCCACTATCCCATCCTCAAGGATAATCAATCCTCCTCTCTATCCACATTCAAAAACTCCGGATTAATCGGGCCTTCGTACCACGACATCAAAATCTCGGACAATATCGAAAAATGCGACATTTTCACAGGCGAATGGGTGCCGAACCCGAAAGCCCCTTACTACACTAACGAGACGTGTTGGGCCATACACGAGCACCAAAACTGCATGAAATACGGGCGGCCCGATTCGGATTTCTTGAAGTGGAAATGGAAGCCCAACAGGTGTGAATTGCCCGTTTTCAACCCGTTTCAGTTCCTGGATATGGTCCGAGATAAGTCCATGGCTTTTGTGGGGGATTCTGTGGGGAGAAATCAAATGCAGTCCATGATATGCCTCTTGTCAAGGGTAAGTGAAAGTTATATATTGAGTTATTTTCATTTTGTTTTTCCTTCGAATTTTTATATGCTTTTTTGCAAGATTATTATGATATTTTTTTGTCATTTTGCATGTGTTGTGTGTGTGTGTTTTTTAGTTAACTTTTATGAGTTTAATTTGTAAGTGTGTGGATAAGAAGTAACTTGAGCTTATATAAAGCTCGTCTCGTTAACGAGTCAGCTCAGAAAATTAGAAAATAAGATTTAATTTTTTCGTAATTTTATATAAGTAATGGGTTGAACTTGAGTTTATTGATCGACTAATATAGTTAACAAATCGAGCTGGACTCGGCTAAATAAAAGTTGAAACTCGGCTCGTTTACAACGCACATGCAGTGATAATTACGAGGTCAATTAGTTATTTTATTTCAATTATAATAAATTAGTATGGTTACAACTTACAAGTATAATGACCAGGGTTAAGAAATGTTTTGGGTTTATAATGGTGTCTATTTATTTATTTATTTAACCTTTTTTTTTTTTATTTTAGCTTCCCATTTAAGTTTAATAATTGTTCCATTAGAAAAGAAGTGGGGTACTTAATGAAATGATTAAGGATCACATGAGCTGGCAATGTATTCAAAAATCACAACTAGGCGTATAAATTATTTTCAGGGTTTTGGTAAATCGTGATAATGTATTATAACACTAATAACTATTTATGCTTTTTTTTTCGAAAGAAAAAGGAGATGACAATTATATAAGATGAGAATAACGGATAATATATTGAGACGAGCCAATAAAATTAGAAGCGTGGGTCGAATCCACACGCATGACACTAAAAACGAATAGGTAATCAAAATACAAAATAATAAATTTAATATTTTACTTATGATTAAAGTAGATAATAAAAAGGAACAATATACACGACGATAAACACGATTTGACTCCTTAATATTGACCCGGTGACTCGGAACAAAATAACGAGCCATTCATTCATACGGTGACTCGGAAACTGACCCGGTTCTCCTTGTCTTGGGTCTAAAGTAAAGGACCTTAATTAAGTGTGCTTAATAAGTTTGATATATGCAAGATCATTATTTTTTTCTTGCTCCCTTTTGTGATCAACACATTATACTTTTCTTCAAATCTCGGGAATCAGCAAAAGTTGAATTTTCAATTGATTAGCTCAAACTTAAAGTAAAGTTAAGACAGCCTGGAGATGTGTTGTATTAGATTAGGACACTTGAGTTTTTATTTACAGACACTCACTGCACTTGAATTAAGACGTGAGCCCCATGTTCTTCCAAAATTTCCGCTTAGCCCCGCAATAACGACTCAAGTCCATTTTGAGCTTCTCATGCTCGAGTTCGAGTTCTAGTTGAACTAAGTTAAAAATTAAAAAATTACATTAGAATTATAACGACTCAAGCTTGACTTGACTTATTTACTAAACTAGTTGGCTCAATCCAATTATAAAACAAGACGTTGAGCTAAATTCGAATTAAAATAAGCCGAACCCACAAACCGTTGTATTCGTTTTTTATAACTCTAACCTCTCCAATTCTTTCATAGCGATAATAATAAAGTTCGGCTAGATTCATTTTATAGTTTTAACTAACATCTTCTATTATTGTTTCAATTATTTCAAATTAATAGTAGCGATGCCTCAAATCCTAAATAGTACAGAAGAGAGAAAACGTTTTGTGAAGATAAAACCCAAAGTTCTGACATGTCAACGAGATATAGAATAATGTATAGCTCTTTTATTTTTCGGTATTAAAATAAAAACTAGTACAATATCCATGTATTACATGAGTAGGGACGGTGCCTTATCCCGAACCGTTCATGGACGGATTCTTAAAAGTGGGATGAGTATCCGGATAAGTCAAATCCAGCACCGTCCCGGCCGGCGTCCACCTTTACCATAAATAATCAACATATTTATAGATAATCCGAACCTAAATATATTTGGATAAGAAGTAAATTAAATCTACCTAAGCCTAATAATGAAGCATATAATGTTGACACATAGGATCCCGAAGCATGCGAGCCTGCCACATAGGCTCAGCACGTTCTAAATTAATATATTGAGGGATATAAGGGAAGATGACAAAGCTCAGGGAATCTATTCCAAGTAGCGTGAGTGGAGCGAGCAGATCAACAAATTCCAAAGATCCATAAATCACAATTTGTCCTCTTCTTCAAGATTGTTCACTCGGTGTTGCTTGATAAAAATTAACCCTTGGTTCGTTAGGTGTTGCTTGATAAAAAGTAAATGGGTTTGTTGCCTAAATAGAGTTCATTTTGAAAAAATTAGTTGTGCTAGGTTTGAGTGTAATTTTGATTTTATATTAAAATTATATTTAAAATAAATTGATTATTAAAGTTGATTTGATGTAAAAGTAGAAGAGGGTGATTAGAAGTGATGAATAGTTAAAATTATATAAGTAAATTAAAGTTGATGTGATACATGAAGATGACTGATTGATATTATTTAATCGTATTAATAGTATTAAGTAGAGTTCAGATAAATTTGAATTAAATTTTGTATTAAAAAACGTGATTAATCAAAAGTGATGGGATAAATTTCTATCCAAGCACCCGCTCAACCCTTGACTTATATATTTTAGATACATTAATTAATCAACTCTCAATATAGTTTATATTTGAGCTCACATGTTCATACATAAATTATTTTTAATTTTCCCTCTTGTGTGATAGTTATAGTGTTTTTGATTTTTGGTAATTATTATAACCTAACTTATAACTTATTTAATTAACTTACAAGCTTATTGTATCTAAATACGTTTAGTTTGGTAGGATAAATTTTTTAAAAGCTATAATTTATTTCATAAGTTTCTATATGTAACTTTTCAAAGCAAGTCTATTAAAAACAAGTCATAAACTATCAGGTACATTCTCGAAATTTTTTTATAAACTATTAACTAATTTATCTGCTATGCTAAATTTACCAAAACATACACTTAATCCACCACATGTGTACCAATAATCAATTTTGCGAAAGTTCGAAAAACTAAAACTCATTAGATCTCTCTTTATTCGGTAGGTTGTTATAATTAGTCAGATATAATTGTGACACGTAATGTTTTTTGTCCATTGATAATTTGATATACATACATTTATTGTTAAAACAACATAAATGCTAAGGAGCCAACAGTTGGCTCCTTAGCATTATTGGTTAAAACAAATACATACTTTTACATATTCTTGTTTAGAAGTATCTCATGTTATAGTACAAGCATAATTTTTTTTATTTCAAAAGTATGTTGTTGCCAAGTTGTTAGGTTGCATCTCACTTTAGAGTATGAGTATGTATATTATTATTAAAAAAAAAAATGTTATGGACTTGCAGACTTGCAGTATGAATGTTATGTTGTCTCCTACAAAAAACTTGTGCTATTTATTAATTTTTTCAATCAATTCTGAGGAAAGGCTGAGAAATGGGATCGATTGACAGGAGAATAAAGTGACAACAATCTCCAAATTCTATATACTTTCAGTGAAAAATATTAAATCTAACACACATATATATCTCACTATCTAGTTTTGGGAAATATTGTCCATGCCCATAGCCTGCCCCCACAATAATGGCATGATACACTTGTAGCTTTGTTCAACACTAAATAGTTAAAAAAAAACAAAAAAACAAAAAACAAAAAAAAACAAAAAAAAAAAAACAATGGTTTTAAATTTTAATTGAATATTTGTGAAAAGCTCCTCCCATTGTTTATCAAAAGCTGAGCAGTGCATGTGCTTGCAGATATGGACCACTATGCAATTTAATTTTATCCAGATTGTTCACATATATCTGTTGCAAATTAATAATTAAAGATTTGTATATGAATAATGGGATAAATGTCTTTTTCCACAAGCGGTGTGTAACACCAATTTCAAGTTTCAAACGCAGACTCAATTGTTGTATACCTATGTGAAGAATGCCACAATTAAGCCCATTGTGAAACAATTGGCTTTAGTTCCATGTTGTCTAATGTTATGGATTGAACTTTAGAATGTATATATTGTGACTTTGAATGACACTAGTAATCAACTTGTGCATTTGTAATATAATAATAATAATAATTTAATTTATAAAAAAAATATAAATTAAGAAAATAATTCTTAAAATTGATTTTGATCAAGTAATTGCTATAGAAGAGCCGTTACAACCATTTTCTTTATGCACTCGGCCATTTTCATGAGTAGGTGTGACTTAAAATTTGAGTACAATTTTGTAACTCCTTTAATTGGTTTATGCTCATAATTTATGGCATTCAAGCAAATTATTTTGTAACTTAAAAATAAAATTGAATGCTGAAAATTTTGGAGGGAGAATAAAATTTAATGCATGATAATATAATTTAATTCTTTGTTGCTCCTCTTTATATATATATATATATAGATAATAATAGAAGATTGTAACATAAAAAGATGGTAAACAATAATTAATATTATTAAATTTATTGTTTGTAATTAAATATAGAGAGATATATAAATGATAAAGTTTGTAACAATTTTTGGAGAGAAATTGAAATGAGGTTTTATTAAATACTATTAGCCAACAATTATATATATATAGATTTTGAAATTATTTAAATTTGTAGAGTTATAAATTTTTTTATTATACTGAAGTCTTAAAAATATAAGTTCGTAGGTGGAATTTGATAGTAGCTAGGATTTGGCATATGTAATTCATGTTTGATTTCTCAGTAAGTATAGAAAAAATTAACAAACTTCATTAGTAATAAATTGCATCTTAAAAATTTTTTAAACCTCAAATGAATATCTTAAAATTCTTAAAGTTAAAATTTAAATACAATTCAAGAAATCTAAAATTAATCGTAAATTATTTTACTTATTAAAATTATTTTTAGTATTTTTTTAACTGTTGGTCTTTTTTCAATAAATTTTCCATCCAAAATTCAGTTTTAGAAAAATTTGCAGTAACATAAAAAATGAATTGTACTAAAATAACAATTAATTTACCATTTTTACCGTCCTATCCAAAGGTTGAGTACCCAATCGACGTCTCCCCAACCACCGACGAGCACTTCAAGCGCTGGCGATACGAAAATTACAACTTTACTCTCGCATACTTCACGTCCCCATTCCTGGTCCGGTCCAGGGAGCGCGACTCGGACGGCCCGACCCACACCGGCCTATTCAACCTGTACCTCGACGAACCAGACGAGTCGTGGTCCACCCAGATCGACGGCTTCGACTACCTCATCCTCAGCGCCGGTCACTGGTTCACCCGCACCGCCGTCTACTACGAGCGCCGCCGCGCCGTCGGCTGCCGCTACTGTCAGATCCCCAACCTCGCCGACCTCCCGATGTCATACGGCTACCGCCGCGCCTTCCGGACGGCGTTCGCCTCAATCAACGGGCGGCAGGGCTTCGACGGCGTCGCGATCCTCCGGACGTTCGCTCCGTCGCACTTCGAGAACGGGCTGTGGAACGAGGGCGGCGACTGCGTGCGGCGGCGGCCGTTTGGGGGAAAGGAAGCGGTTTTGGAAGGGGCGAATTTGGAATTTTACATGGTCCAGCTGGAGGAGTTTAGGGCGGCGGTGAGGATAGGGAGGAAGAAGTTGAGGCTGATGGACACCACGCAGGCCATGCTGCTGAGGCCCGATGGGCATCCGAGCAGGTACGGGCACTGGCCCAATGAGAATGTGACTCTGTATAATGACTGCGTTCATTGGTGCCTTCCTGGGCCCATTGATTCGTGGGCCGATTTTCTGGCCCATATGATGAAGATGGAGGCACGGAGGACTTACAAGGAGAGGCTCCTGCAGAGTGGGAAGAAAATGCAGTAGAAATGTTTCTTTCTTTTCTTTTTTTAATTTTTGTTTATTTTGCCTCTGGTAAATTGGCCTTGTATGAAGGAAAATTTTCATTAAGTGCAGTTATGTTTTACTGTTTTGCTGGATTATTAATGTTAATATTGGTTTCAAATAATTTAGATGAGCATATATAAGGGGAAGATGAGAAAATAAACTTCATCAACTGCTTGTCTATTGGCTTCTTTAAACACAATTGACAAGTAAAATGACTTTAGAATGAAATATTGATGACACACTTAAACATGGAAAGCTAGAATGTAGAGCATCAAAACATTATATAAATCGTTTCTACGGGCTTTTCCTTTGATTGGATGTTTTCTTTATTTTGATTCATTTGGTTTGTTTTTCTATCTCATTTCATTAGTTAAATTTAATCTATTATTTTTTAGTTAGATATAATTGTTCAAAATCTCCATTATTTTTATTTTACTTCTTTTATGAGTAGTTGCATCAATATTTTATGAACTACGGTTGTGTTTGATAAGCCAAATAAGCTAGCTTATAGCTTATTTGGTTAGCTTATAAGCTCCCTGTATTCAAATAAACCTCGTTTGGTAGGACGAGCTTTTTTAAAAAGTTCGAGCTTATCTCATAAGCTACTTTAGGTAGTTTTTCAAATAAGCTAATTAAATTTTTTATTTCAGCTAGCTTACAGCTAATTTTACCACACATTTTTATCATATAAGCTAGTTTTTCAACTATAAGTCATAAGCTATAAGCTATAAGCTAAAAAATTACAAATAAACTATAAGCTAGATTATCAACTAATTTTACCAGACATAGCCTACAACTTTACAAGCATAAATTTATTGCTGGTTTCAACATTCCAGACGTTAAAATAGAGTAGGTATTAATTTAGGAAGGTAGGGAAGTGTCATTTCAAATTTATGCGGTCAATTTATCAATATTCAAATATTTGCGCTATTCACAATCACATTCCCAGAGATATTAGAAAAACAAAATGCAATCTTGAGAGATATGAATTTCACATGTAACAAATTGAAACTCGGTGATTAGCACTTTACAGATGGAAGCTGGAAAACAAAAAAATCAATATACATGTACATTTAACTATTAAAGTCGTCCGAAAACTTTTCAACCTCGGTAAGACAATCACAAACTTTTAAATTGATAATCGTAAGTGCTGACAATTACTATCATTTTTCTTACAAACGCGGTTGGATATAAATTATTTTCAATCTCGTCTCATCGATAACTATTTTTTATTAATAATATAATCTAATACTAATTTTTTAAGCAAAATTCACTAATACTCCAATCCATTTTTTTTTTCAAAAATCTTATCAATATGATTAAACAATCAGAATTAAATTTACCACACATTTTTAAAAAAATATAATTCATACATTAATATTTTTTTAACGGCAAATTTGTCCTTAATATCACAATTTTTATCGAAGTTGTAATTTAATCATGACTTTTTCAATTTTACAAATTATATCACAATTTTTTGGTTTGTTGCAAACAATTTGAAAATAGTCATAGTAAAGCTGAAATGGTTGTGATATAGTTTGCACGGGATATGCAAATCGGTGAACCTATTTGCAACAAATTGAAGGTTGTGATATAATTGCAAAAGTGAAAAAGTCGTGATTAAATTGCAATTTTGAAAAAGGTCATGATATTAAGGGCAATTTTGCCTTTTTTTAACTATCAATCATTCTATATTCTTTTTTTATTTATTTATCACATTCTTTAATCATTTATATCTGATATTTCATTTTTACTAGGCTAATAGCATAATACCACTTTTTAAGGTGCTCAACTCACAAATTAGTAGCAGTGGTTGAAAATAAGCTCAACAATAAATGGAACTTACTGTTCTCATAGTTGACTTATCGAACCTCCCCTGCCGCGTTAGCAGGAGCAGGTACACGCGTAATATAAGTAATTACACTTCTGCCCCCGAAAACTCATCCCCATTTTTACAAATTTACCCCTCGACTCCCCGCAAATTTAATTCCCTACTTCCCACCGAGCCATGCTGAAAATATTCAGACGGCGGAACAAAACCCATCGTCCCCAATCGCTGCCGCCGTAAACCCTGAAAAATACCCCGACGCCATGTCGGCGCCGCCGCCTACCGCCGCCGCAATCCCCCACTTCCACACCACTCCTCCCCTTTTCCCGACTGTCAACTCCACCGTCCTCCCCGACCCGTCCAAGTTCTTCGCCCCCGACCTCCTCTCCGCTCCTCTCCCGACCAACTCCTTCTTCCAGAACTTCGCCCTGGAAGACGGCGACCAGCCGGAGTACTTCCACCCGTACCTCGTCCAGTCGTCCCGGTCCAAGCTCACCCTCTGCTACCCCTCCCTGTTCACCACCGCCGCCTTCTTCTACCAGATCTTCGCCGCCGACATCGCCATATCCACCCTCAACAACCCCAATCCGAACGCGAAACACGTGATTTCCAAGTACAGCGACCTCAGCGTCACCCTCGATTTCCCCTCGAACAACCTCAAGTTCTACCTCGTCCGCGGCAGCCCCTTCGTGACCTGCAAAATCAGGCGCAAGGTCCCGCTCTCGATTTCGACCAACCACACGATTCGAGCCCTAATCCCTAACACCGACCTCACGAAATACACAATCAAGCTCAACAATAGCCAGACATGGCTGCTGTACGCCTCGCCCCCTGTAAAATTGACCCTGGTCAAAAACAGCATCAGCAGCTCCACCGAGTATTCCGGTCTGATCCGAATAGCCGTCCTACCCGACCCGAAATCCGAATCCGTTCTGGATCGGTACAGCTCCTGCTACCCCGTGAGCGGCGAAGCTCTTTTCAACGAACCTTTCAGAATCGACTACAGATGGAAGAAAGAAGGGTCGGGAGATTTGCTAATCCTAGCCCACGCCCTCCATCGCCGCCTCCTCTCAGCCGACTCCTCAGTTACTGTGCTCGACAATTTGAAGTACAACAGCGTGGACGGTGAACTAGTGGGCATCGTCAGTGATTATTGGACCATGAAAACCGAGCCCGTGCCAGTGACCTGGCACTCAATCGAAGGCGTTAACAAACAATACTACTCTGAAATCATCCAAGCTCTGGATAAGGACGTCGAGTCGCTCAACGCCAGCTCGATCTCCACCAAATCTTCCTATTTCTACGGGAAGCTAGTCGCTCGAGCCGCCAGGCTGGCGCTGATTGCCGAGGAAGTTTCTCATCTGGACGTGATCCCAACTATCCGGAAGTTCTTGAAGAAGACGATCGAGCCCTGGTTGGACGGCACTTTCAATGGCAACGGGTTTTTGTACGATCCGAAATGGGGCGGGCTCGTGACCGAACAAGGCTCGTCAGATCGAACAGCCGATTTCGGATTCGGGATTTTCAACGACCACCATTATCACATCGGCTACTTCATTTACGGAATATCCGTGCTAGCCAAGATTGATCCCTATTGGGGGAGAAAATACGAGCCTCACGCTTACTACTTGATGTCCGATTTCATGAACCGCCGGAGGAGGAGGAGAAAAAATGGGAATAATAATAATAATAATAATAATAATAATAATAATAATAATAATAATAACTTGAGCTATAGTACTCGTCTGAGATGCTTCGATCTTTACAAAATGCACTCATGGGCTGGTGGGCTTACCGTTTTTGCCGATGGGCGGAATCAAGAAAGCACGAGTGAGGCTGTGAACGCGTACTACTCGGCAGCTCTAATGGGGATGGTTTATGAAGACACGAGCTTGTCATCTTTCGGGTCGACTCTATTGGCTCTTGAAATGAAAGCTGCCGAAATGTGGTGGCACGTGAGGAAAGACAATTATCTGTATCCGGAGAAGTTTGTTAGGGATAACAGAGTTGTTGGGGTGTTGTGGTCGAGCAAGAGGGATAGCGGGCTTTGGTTTGCGCCTCCCGAGTCGAGAGAGAGTAGGCTCGGAATTCAGCTGCTCCCACTTTTGCCGGTTAGTGAGGTTTTGTTCTCGGATTTGCAGTATGCGAAAGAGCTTGTGGATTGGACTGTGCCGGTTTTGAAGAGGGAAGGGGTCAGTGAAGGGTGGAAAGGGTTTTTGTACGCGTTGAGAGGGGTTTATGATCCAAAGGGGGCTTTGGAGAGTATTCGGACGTTGGAAGGGTTTGACGATGGGAATTCTTTGACGAATCTTTTGTGGTGGGTTTACAGCAGAAGGGTGAATGGGAGCTTCAGGTACTAGCAATATAAGTGTTGTTCGTTCGGGTTGATGATTGTTTGGGTTAAGGAGAAGGAAAAAAGGGGGAAAAGAAAAAGTTGAGTCCTTTTTATGGTTTTGTTTTGTTTTCGTGGTGGTTTAATGATTTTTATGTCTGTCTTGTATTGAACTCAGTTGCTGAGTTCCATGTGTTTCATGTCTCCCCTCTATATGGGAAAATCCTCAGTTTCATTAAGTGTGTGGTGCAAATCGCAGATCTTGTTTTTAAAGTTTTTGATTTGACGAGTTACGTTGAGATTACGCTGATGATGTTTGTAGAATGGTGAATGAAGTGAAGAAAAAGTGTCTTTTTGACGAGCACGACAGCTGAAAAGGACATGTGCTCGTTTCTCTCTAGAAATTTGAGATATGCTTAACAAAATAAATGCTCGAGTACAACCCAAGGGCTCAATTGAGTTGTTATATCGTGTAGCTCGGATTTGATCATGTTTTGATTCGAGTTTAACGTTATTTAACCACGGATCCAGCATCTTGCTCGAGGTATGCTTGACAAAGCTCGAACTAATACATGCTTGAGTTCAACCCTAAGGGTTCAACTGCTTGAGTTCAACCCCAAGGGTTCAACTGATTCGTGATATCGTGTAGCTTCAACTTATTCGTGATATTGTGTAGCTTGGGTTTGACCAAGATTGATTCACACTTTTGCCTAGAAGCTCATATTCAGTTAGCTTCACCTCGTTGTATGCTTGAGCTTCATATTCAGTTAGCTTCACCTCGATGTATGCTTGATAAAGCTCGAATTAATACATGCTCGAGTTCAACCCAAAGGCGGTCCAACTCGTATACCCGAGATGAATATGTGTTACATTGTTGAATTCCCATATTAAGTATGGAAATTGGGACACATTTATGAGTTACATATTGATTATTGAGGAATTAAATTATATATTATGTTACAAATATTAAATACTATTAAGACCGTTGAGCTTATCAATGTGCCGTCATTTTTTAGTTGAAACTCGCTGTTGTGCTCCCATGTCCTTTTGATTCTTGGTTTGATTCCTTGGGGTTAGTTTGATTGTGAATTTTGTGGATTAAGGCTATAAAGTTTCATGCCCATTTTAACACGGAAAGATGAAGTTTTTTAATATCGTTTTTGGAATTAAGAAAATGACTTTATATATATATATATAGTAAGATTACTGTTGGACTAGCTACAAAGAAAAAACAAAAAAAAAAACACAAACAAAAACAAAAACAACAGTGTAAACAAAGTATTACATTTTATAAATTGTATTTTTATTATGAAGTTTTGATGGAGGACCTATCTAATTGTTGGGCAACTTCACATAATTTGTGATATGTATATGATGTTGCAAAACTTGTACGTATTCAGGGAAATAAATGCTCACATGTCCACGGTGGGCACATGTTAATATGCCCACCGACTTATGTGATATGTATATAATGTTGCAAAACTTGTACGTATTCAGGGAAATGCTCACATGTCCACGGTGGGCACATGTTAATATGCCCACCGACTTATGTGGCATGCACATATTGGTAATGTACTTTTTTTAACATATTAACATTACCAATGTGTGCATGCCACATCAACGGTAGACATATTAACATGTACCCACCGTGGACATGTGAGCCTTTCCCCGTTTATTCATGGTAAACCAAACTTGGAGGATAGAGGAATAACTTAAAGGGGCAATAATAATGGACCAAAAGGAAATCTCCTAATTTATTTACACATTCGATTTTTTACCATAAACATACAGTTGACTGATTAAAATTTATTTTCTTGAAAAATTGTGGTGTTTTGACTAACATTTTCTAGACTGGGAATAACCTTTTTTGTTTGTCCTAATATTGACCTTTTTTCGAAGACCATGAGTTACCTTTATCTTTAATAATTACATTTATTTATGCATATTATTTTGTAATAAATATACAATTAAACAGTTAACTTTCATATTTAATTACTTTAATTTTTTTGTAGCGTAAGACTGGACGCCGTGTCCCGCAACATGGTGACGAATAGCTGGCAGAAGCCCGTCACGAAAACGTCTCGCCTTCTTCGTCTCAGTGTCCACCAGATAAGGGACAAAGGACCCGAGACGAACAAAATCCCGCTCGTACTCATCTACAGAGCGGTGGCCCTGATTAAGCGCCAAGAACTGGCGCTCCATCTCAGCCTTGTAGGTATCCGTGTAATACTTCTCCCGCAGCATCTCCTTGCACTGTGCCCAGGTGAGGTTCTCCTTCTCACCAGGGGGCAAGCCCTAGTAGGAGTTCCACCACAGCCTGGCGTCTCCTGTCATCTGGACCTGGGCACACAGAATGCTGTGCCTCTCGGAGCACTCAATGATCTCGAAGATGGCCTCGAGAGCCTGGATCCACTCATCGACTAGTCGAGGGTCTCCCTGCCCCGAAAACTTGTCTGGGTTGTAGCCGCGAAACTGGGCGACTACCTCAGCCTGGGACATCTCTCTCTGAGCTTGGTTCTGACGACGGGCCATCTGAGAATAAGCCGCGTAACTGGGTCAGAACAGGAGGATGAAATTGCATAAGGCTGAAAGGAAACGCTGAATACTGGAATAGGCACAAATTTCTTGACGAGTTGCTAAAAATAACTCGATAATCTAGAGTTTGACTAGAGTTTGAATCTAGAGTTCTGAAATCTGATAGAGGACATAACTGATACTACTAGGAGTCTTATACTGATCTGAGCATCTAGAGTTCGGACTATCTGAATCCTGTTGAGCATAGACATAGTACGGTTTGCTTATATAAACTTTGAAAAACTTTTACAGCAAGCACTTACCTGGTAGTCGGCGCGGCGTGAGTGTGGTGTGGCCGAGTTTTGCAAAATTTCTCTGTCTTTTAAAACATTCGAAAGCACAAACGGTGCTCTGATACCAACTGCAACACCCCGCTAACTAGGGCCAAATTTTCGCAAATTTTAACTCTTTCGAAAACGCTTATAAATTTTTCGAAATCATTTGCAAACTATCTCGGGATGCTGCTAAGGACTTTTCTGCTTAAAAACCCATTTCTTTAACCTAGGTCTAACAACTGGTTTAGACTTAAAGAAATCAGGTTTATATTTTTACGAATCATGCACATTAGTCTGGACCCGTTCGTACTGGCGAACCGGGTAAAATTATTTAAGTCTGATAATTAAGTCATGCATGTTCGAAATTAAACGCAAGCATAGCGGAAGTCTAAAATACGTGGTTATAATAGTTTATAAAATAGTTTAAACAAATTTCCCGGGAACAGCTTTCGTGCGGAACTCACGACCACCACCACCACAGCTCGTCTCACGCCTGCCCGCGGACCCTGTCATCTGAAATTATAAAGTGGGGGTGAGTACGGTCCACTTGTACTCCATAAAAATCCATTCTAAAGTAAACAGCAATATTAATAATGATATCGCAAACTGGTATATATAAGTAAACTGAAACTCCCGGAACTCTCTGGCCTGTAACTCCCGGAACACTCTGGCCGGTAACCGTGTGCACACTCTGATGGTATAACTAGGGCAAACTGGGCCACCACCAGAACTTAGGGAAGGCAAACTTGGCCTTAACCCAAAGTGGATAAAACTCATATACATACCTGAACGTGATATCGACTATTTAACTCAATGTATAACCCAGACTGGGTCCCCACCTGATCGGTTTTGAAAATGAGTAAGTGCGGCTATGCTGATAGCTGACTCCTCAAGCTACATAAAAATATAAGCAAACAAATATACTAAGTACTATGCTCGTCATATGCTCAAAAATATGCTAGGATGCTCTACTCTATCAGATTACTCATCCGGATATAAAGGAACGCTCTAAGGGTTCACAGAAATAATTCTAAGTCCGGAAATAATACTGATATGCTTAACTGATCTGGTTTGGCTCGGAAAAATACTTAAATTTCGGAATAAGACTCGGACCGAAAATCACGAACCAAAACGGACTCGAACCGCCGGCTAAACCGGCCGGTTCGCTAACTGGCTGAACCGGGTCGGGCTGGACCGGACCCGGTTGGACCACCGGGTCACACTGGACCGGTTGGTCACGGGCTGCTCGGACTGGCCGGGCTCGATCCCGTGCCGGGCCTGCTGGGGCCATGGCACGGCGCTGGGCACTAGCTGGGTGCGACCGGGCACGGTACTAGGCGCTGCTGGGCGCGGGCTGTGCGGCTGGCACGGGCCCTGGCACGACTGGTGCCACTAGGTGCGGCTGGGCACGACCGAGAGTCACTGGGTGTGCTGGCGTGCTGCTGGGCACGGTCGAGCACGAGGGACGCGGGAACTGGCGCGTACCCGGGTTGACTGGGCACTGGGCGTGCGGCTGGCACGACCCGAGTGCGACTGGCGCGAGAACGGACGTGGCCAGACACTACTCGCGCGGCTCGGGCGCGGCTAGGGCTGTCAGGGTGCTACCGGGCGACCCTGGGCACGCGGGCATGCTGCTGGGCACGTCCCGGGCTAACTGACTACTCGGGCGTGCTGCTGGGCACGTCCCGAGGCCTCTGGACCTGACTCGGGGTCACTACAGCACGGCACTGGACACTCGGGTGCGCTGCTGGCACGACCCGAGGTCGACTCCGCGTGGTACGAGCGACTGGCTCGGGATCACGCGTGCATGACACTGGGACAGCGCTGCCGGGCGCTGTCGGAGGTGCTCTGGCGCGACTGGCGCTGAGACCTCGCGGGCTGGCACGGACAGGCGCGGCTGGGCGCTGTCACGTGCACTGGGGACTGCGGTGCCTCGCGAGCGCTAGGCGCGGGCACGGACAGGGGCACTGCCTGGCCCCTGCGACGCGGCACGGGCACGGCACGCGCGACTGGCGCGGCTGGTGACCCTAGCCGGTCCTTTGCCAAACTTCCGGCAACTTTGCCGGGGACTACTGAACCAAATCAACCTAATATGACATAAAATGCTCAAAAATGCCAAAAGTCACTGAGGGACCTCGGTTGGATTTGGTGGTGGGCTTATAGGGCCGATTAGGCACGAGGCCACCCTAGGGCACAAAAATGAACATGCTCAACATGAAAATTGACCTAGGGCCGAATGATATACATCAAAAATCATGGCTAATGAGGCTAGAACATTGGTCAATACATGCATGCACATATACTTAGGTTCGGGGGTGAAAATGGCTCGATTTCACTTAACAAATTGACCGAACAAATGAACTCAAAGCATGAAACTGTTTTAACCATGTCATACTCATGATTTTTGAGGATTTTTAAGATACTAATCTCGGCCATATCATGCATGTACCATAACTTACGAAATTAGGGCTTAAATCTTCAAAAATCCAAATCTCCATATTCTTCTCGTGCATGGCATCATTTTTGTACATGATAAATCTTATTTTATCATGAATAAGCTAGGAAAAATGAAAGTCACGAGCTAACCTTGCTCGAGCTCGCGAATGGTGCTAATGGCCTTTGCTCGGGCTCGCAAATGGCCTAGGAGACTAGCCTCGACTTAGGGGCTTGAATGGCTGAGGAGGATAGCTTCAAGAGACTTAGAAAAATCCAAACTAAGCTTGGATAATGATAAGCCTCGAGATAACTAGGCTGGAACAAGCTGGACACGAGCACTCCTCTTCCCCGGGGCACACGCGCGCGCGGCTAGGCTTGCCTTGGCTTGCTCTCGGTTTTTCTCTTGTTTTCCCTCAATGTGCTAAGTGTTATGCTCGAAAATTATGAGTATCCAAGAGCTCTAACACTCAGCTGAAGGTGGCCTTATAAGGGAAATGCATGGGCGGAGAAAACAATGCTCAAAGTGGAGACACACACACATCACATGTGCATGGGGACATGGTTTGGGGCTGTTTGCACGAACTTGGAGGGTT